ACAGCTGACCAACTGATTTACAGCCAGTGCTGCCAACGTATTTCGCGCGCACAGGACGTTGCCTGCATGTTACGCGCTCACTATTTCGTGCCTTCACCTTGCAAATCTTGAGTGAGACAAAGTAATTAGAGTGAGACAATGTTAACATTGTCTCACTGATGAGCGAATTGGCCACTTTGCTTTCTCAAATCAGGAGAGAACATGTACATTGTTAGGTAACTGTAGGAAAACACTATTTCAGTAAGCCTTATCGAGTTTTTCTACCTAAATCCTACCAAAGTATTTGGTTTCCTGCTATAAATATTCCCAAAGTATGTATTTGGTTTGTTTATAAAAATAATAACACCTGGCCAAAAACTAATCATATTCATATGATACAAGGTTTGGTTATCCGTTTGGATTGAATTAAGTAGCCTATGCTGTAGTAAAATTACGATAGGTACAAATCCTTAGACACAAAAGGCCAATGAAGTGATGTCATGCAATGACAATATTTACAACGTTATTTTGACTTCACTCAAATGTTTGGCTAACTCTAAATGTACAGATGACCAACCTCCTCAAACAAGAACGTTTGACTCTGACTTCACCTGTGAGAAAGGTAAATATAGTAACTAATATTTCCGTTTTGCATGGGTGTCCCCAAGACGATGACTATTTTCGAAGACTAAATTAGAAAAATATAATTACATAAAACATGTAATTTTTATCCTTGGAAACTATATAATTATGTGTACACTTCAAAATTCAATTTTCAACTAGCAGATGATAATGAATGAATGCATTATGAAAATAACACACACAACTGTTCTATTTGAATAGAAAAATAATTTAGTTTGATATTATGATAGGAAATAGAAGCTAGTTTAGTATTAAAACGTTACTTTTCCAAGTTAGAAACATTTAAATGCGTTATAATGTTTTTAAAGATACTCGTTAATACCACTATAATGCCGATCTCTGATTACGGTAATAAAATAACACTTAACGCATAACTATGAAAAAGACATGCAGATTAACACCTTTGGTTATAGATAGTCACCTGCAATATGGACACCCTCTTTCAATTTTGTATCAAAAATCATCATAGAGCCGCGCCGACTTAAAATAAGTTACGTGAGCTTGCCTAATACAAAAGTTTACTTTACTGAAATTATTCATATTTCAAGACTTGCATACATGATGTACAATTCAGTCACCCATGATTTAAAAATGAAAACATTATTAAACACGGCTTCTAGAAGTAAAAGTCAAGCGAGAGGTAAGTAAATGAATATGTTAAATATTGATTTCATAATATTTATTCCATCATTCTATGCTTCTACATTTGCACTGAGATTAATGTTTTCTATCTAGGCTGTACTATTCTGCATGCTGATTTTTGCCGATCTAGGAGGAGAAAAACATTTTATTGGTAAAGTGTAATTTGATAATGCTGTACCAGCCGTAAACAACCATAGAATGAGTACATCAACAATTTTATAATTACATTGAAAATAATAATATCATTATATTTCTATGTGAACATTGATTGGACCTTGTCCCTGTAGGTCAGGTTACTGCATGTTGTGTCATACCATTATAATTTATATCTTTTAGGTAGAAAGAGGGAAGACTACGACCCTTAGAAATGGTTGCAGAGGAAAATCTGAGGGAAGTCTTACTGTGACAACTCTCAATCAATCAATCAATCAAGAAATTTATTTACACGATAATTTAACAATACATAGGTTACAACAGTGCAAAAACCACAAAGGGTTTGTCTGCACTAAAAATATTGTTTCTTATTTACCATACAGTTTTGTCAGTTTGAATCAGTAGCATGCAGTTTTGTGAGTCATTTTGTCTCTTGAGTGATTATAAAAAAAAGACAACAAAGACGCAAATATCTGTAAAAATTCAACAGCAACAATAATAAATAAACTATTAGAATAAATAACAGTAAATCTACACCGATTACCGTCTTCGTTCTTCAGGATTGCCAACATCAGGACTACCTCAATCTTTGGCAGGATCAACATAAGATAAAGTGGCTATTTAATTACAATGTCGTAACCTAATCAACTAGTTTAACTCATAGCAGAGGGATTGTACTGTATATCGAGTGTTTGGCTTCCATGCCGATTGGGTAATCTCTGACTGAGTGATTAAGCGTGTGAGTCATTTTTGTATATAGTTTTTGTTATTTATTGTTATTGTAAATTATATCTGTAACAATAACGGATATAATTATGTGTAATTGTGTATAATTGTTGTAGTTGTGTATATCTGTGTAAGGTTATAATCTTAATAATATTATAAATGTCTTTTCTATTTTATATTTACATGTATGCAGGTTAAGTGTAAGAAATGGCCATGGGGCCTTAACTTTACCTGTTGAAATAAAGGATTTACATTTCATTTCAATGTTACAAACAAGAGTAATAGCACGTCCCCTCTAATACAAAGTGAACAAATTCAAAAATTAGCATTCTGCTTCACGGACTTCATCACTTTACAGCCCACTGTTCTTATCTTCCCTCCCTTTACACGCAGACGCAGTGCGCTACGCATCGGGCATATAATTTAATTTCGTCGTAGAACTAATGGCGCGTCGTGCGCGGACTGTACGCATGCGCAGAGACTGTACCGGTCCTACGCCGGTCTATAATTACAACGCCATTAGCTCGCCTCTACCCCCTAATTTTCGCAGCTCATTGTTGCCCCCTCTCACTCCTTCTCTCTCGCTCCCCCCTTCTCCGTCTACTTTATTATCGTTGCCGGAGCGAGTTCATCATTATTATTGTTATTACGACCACTGCCTCGCCGGATCGGACAGCTCGGGTTCTATTCTTTGTTCCGGACGCCTCCTCCAACACGCGAGTAAAATTTACATCGTTATTAGCATATGGAAATCCGAGGAAAGGTTCGGAGGTTTGATCCTCGGGGTTTATAATGAAACTTATCCTACCATTTGTTAGGAATAGACTTAGTAGTTGGTATAGTGGTTGAATGGAATTCAACTTAAAAAAGAACAACTTTTTGTTAGGCTTTACTGGAGTGACGTTGGAAAACGGATAGTTAATTTAATATATATGTAACCCTTAAGGTAGTACATAATTATCTGACTATCTGATCTTCGTTGTAATACTATCCGTAAAGCTTGGCTCTCCATGATAGTAGAAGGGAGGGATTTTTGGAGCCAAGAGAGAATTGGTAATGGTGTGAGAGAATAATGTTAGTACTGTATATAAATATATTTAATTTAAAACACAAACAAACCAGATTGTAGAAATGTCCATACTTCGTCATATACCGTCTAATGTGGTATAATACTATATGATAAAGATACATTATTATAGTTTAAAAGGGTATACAAACTTCGGTCTTATACATGCTGTGTGATTTTTTATGGCATAGTAGATATTTTTGCGAAAGCTATATGAATTTGCAAAGCTATAGAAAATATATACAGCAGCTAATCAAGCTTAAATTAATAATAGCAAGTCAATTTTCCAACTTACTACAATACACCGTGGTAGTACTAACTGCATCTCATTCGTATTAAGTGTGTTTTCATTGTCAATTTTTGAAAACACAACTGTTTGAAAAGAAAACACAATTTTGGTTGAATAGTATAAATAACAATCATATATTATATGATTATATAACATATTATGTATAATTTAGCAAGTACGACACAACAGGTTGCTTGGCAGTTCCCTTTCTTTCAACGTTTTTTTGTTATTGGAGTCTATGATTTTGGTAGTCCAGAGGTTCCCCTAAAACTACTTTTCTTACTTCTGTTCTGTGCTGTCAATATCAACAACTGGGAAATGTGAACTAACGAGCTATCATACCAAATTTCAGCCCAATCCGACCAGTACTTAATGCGTAATTTAACCCCAAACAAACCCACATATGATTGTTTTATGATCGACTTCAGTCCTACATTGAATACTTCATTGGAAAAGATTAATATTTTATCATTCATTCCGAATAAAAATAAACTCTTGACGGCTAATTTATGAGACGCACTAATAGTTTAGGGGGTTTATGTCGAGTTCCATAATCACGTCGTCCGTAAAATGGCAATATGTGTTACATGTCCTAAAATAGTAGGTTTAGTCACTAGTCCCTAAAGTAGGGTTTTTTGGGACGATATCTCGTTTAGTGGACGAGGCTTTGCCAAGTCCAAAAATTCGATTAAGTCACAAAAAAAGCATTTTAGGACGAGTTACGAACAATATTTTTCATTACATTGTCATGTATTATAGCAGAAAATACAAAATATAGCCAAAACCGTTTGATTAAAAAGGAACGTTTACTTTACCAAGAAACAAACAAAGTTTGTTTATACATTGTTGAAGCATTTTAAAGGATCAGAACAGCTGATTTGTTTTTGAAATAAGCTTTGACATAACCATATGATTCGAGTCCGCAAAAAGCTATCTTTAGGGACTCAAAACGACCCGTAAGACAGCTGTTTTTGAGACAGTGTAATGAAAATATAGTTACAGTACAACATTGTTGTGCATTAGGCTACCCCCAACATTTATCTTGTAAGAAATTCTACATGCGTGTACAATAAAATCGCAAAATCACTCCAATACATTTTTTTTTTTACATGAAAACCCAAAGTGGAATTCATAAATGTAGCATCCATTAAGCGTATATAAGATTTCCACCGACAAAAACCTCTCAGCGCACAGAAGCTCCGCAACCGGAATCAAATCATCGAACCGAATTAATTAAAGCGACCGTCTTCTTTTCCAGATCGGAAAGATAAGGCGGGGTCATTTGCCATACCAATGTTGTCGCGCAGTCGGGCGAATAAAAACCGGTAGAGCGGGCGCGGGCGGATAATGTGGTCATTTGGTGTTATGCTCCTCGCTTCTTCTCCCAGGCGAGGCGGTGCTGGTCAAAGGCTCGAGGTGCATTCCGCCAAGAGGGGGGAGGGGGGAATGAATGAGAGTTTGAGAGAGCGGAGCGAGTTTTGAGTTAGTTGTGGTCGGGTCGCCATGAGAGGCGTAGTGGTAGTGTTGTGGGCCCTTTGGGCCTGCTCCTGGGCCGACAAGTGTGAGAAGATCACCATACCCATGTGCCAGGAGCTTGGGTACAACTTGACCGTGATGCCTAACTTTGTCGGACATGAGGATCAGCTGCAGGCGGAGCGTGGTGTGAGTACAACAATGTAAAAAAACACAAACTTGATTGCATTTGTGTTCAACCTAACCTAAACCTAAGAACTGGGAATAATGAATCTAAAGGGACACTAAAGTAGACATCTCATCCCCATCCCATATTTTTCTCCAAATAGATCATAACTAGAGCTATTAAACTAGTGTGCCACAGTCTGGAATTTCATTTTCTCCCTATTTTTGTTACTGATATACTTGATGAGATAAAAGAGGTTTTCGTACACAATTAGTTGCCGTTTCAGTTTGGTTTCGTTAAAAAATCATTGATATAAATCAGTTGTTACATCAGTGCAATTTGTGGCCACGTTAACCATACGTTGATAATATTTACAAACATCTATTTTTATCCATAGTCTGAGAACTGAACAGACGATACACAACAAAACTACTAAAACGATATGAGGCGGTCAAATCTGAATGAGCCAAGGCCTACTAGAACTAAAGACAACAATGTACATTAACAGCTGATCAATCAATATTTTGACGGCCCCCGTTTAACATTACTTCGTTCAAGACTTTGGATATTAATCGAGTATGTTTCATCTATGGTATAACCACAGACAATATAATACTTTAATGTACATCCCGAATCCATTCCTAAGTCAAAAATGTAGTCAGTTTAAAATAAAATTACGCAGTTGAATTTAGCTAAAATTGACGCTGACGTATATTTCTGATTTCCGTCGAATACGCTGTTTTACAACACCGAAAGCAAAACTTGATGTAGCTTAAGCTATATCAATTTGTTTACATTAGCTTCACAGTAACAAACACTAGGGGAAAATATAATTTTAGACTGCAGCGCCATCTGTAAATGGTTTGCTAACTTAATCGAAGAAACATATTGACAATTGCTGGACCATTAGATGAGATGTCTACTTCAAGATCCGAGTCACTGGACGTACCTATACTACACGATTGATGATTGATTAATGTAAAAAATCTAAACCTGTTCGAGCCACATGTTTTGATTGACAACAATGCACATTATCAGCTGATTTCATAAACACCAATAAATGTTTTGAAAACTGCTTCTCCGCTGTTACATTTTTCCTTTACGTTGTTGTGATGATTTTGTGTTGTTGTGCTATATTGTTGTTATTGTTCTTACAGCGTAACCACGCCCAAAAATAATAGTCTTCAGATTATTCTAAAGGATAAATGTATAAAGACGTTTACGCCACACTACATTATTTTGACGAACTTCCCGCGCAAGGATTTAGTCCAGAAAACAGCTGTTTGCCGCCAGCTTATTCAAATGGGGTTTTATTGCGTGCTACTGTTCTGCAATGAGTTTTACCGGACACCAATCAGCTGATTATACTGTATTTAGGTAGCAATGAATGGTTATAAACAAAAACATAACCTCTCTTAGAGGTTAGAGGTATGACTAGTGATTTTTAGTCCTTTAGTTGGTGGAAATATATAAGGATTTGTACAGATTTATTAGTATGGCGTAAACCATCGTACTTAACTCGTCCAAAATGTGTGTACCGGACTCGTATGGTAATCCCGTACTCGACTTCGTCTCGCACGGGAACGACCACACTCGTCCGGTAAACACTTATTTTCAGGATTAGCAACGTAATATACTATTAATACACACATCACTATACTCATTATTTTTAAAACATTGTCTATATTCATAGTTAGTAATCTCGTCGTTCCTACTTAATGTTCTTCCTTCCAACTACTGTACTTTGTCACGAGGAACTTGCAGTGGAGGTCAATGAAGATATTTACCTCTTCATCTACGAACATTCATTCAGCTTAAAACTTTTTCACTTTTCTTGGATGTATTTTTGTATTCTTTTACACTATTACATTATTTGACTATCCTTTTAGTAAATCACTTCTTTATTTTTCTCCATTTTGCTGGGGTATTATTACTGATTGGACACAGACTATTTCACTAATCACTAGAAACCGTGCTTTCAACTTCACCTCCATATTGCTACTACAGTATATGCATTGAAAATTCAAACGTGCTAACAACAATGGAACAGCTGATTAATGTTTAAGGGTGCTAAAAAACTTGATTCCAGCGTAAAAATAAGCCATATGCTTATCCTTATATACATGTATAATACGTGAAGGTGATTTCTACGAAACACTACTCCTCCGTTAATAATGGACGGATTTTTACAAACTCAAAATGAAGTATTTTTGTGTAGACGCCTCCTTTCACCAATTCCTGTAATAAAAGTCCTCGGGCTTTGTCCCAAAGGCCATCAAAATCCCAATGTATTTCTTATGAAGAAAAGATTTTGTTTACTTAAACAGACGAATTATTTGTGTTAATTATAGCTGTTCATAGTAAACACATGATACACACAAGGGCTTTCGTATTCAGAGTGAGTTCGTTTCGAGTTTCGTTAACTGGAGTGGAGTGACTAATCACATATTCTTTGACTCTTTTAATTCATCAAAAATTGCGACTGTTATTGGTTTTGGACGCACGTAATACTTTGCAATTGCTCGAATTCGAGCAACAGGTGCACTAGTTTTAACTATTATGTAGTTGACTTTTCTACAACCCTTGGTAACGCGCATATTCAGCTGTAGATTTGACCAATTCTATTTGGAACATGGTGTACTATGTTCAAAAGTAAATAGCAAATAATTTAACAGACTATGTTTCTGAGTAATTTATAGCTATCAAGGACTACTGGAATTATTACTTCACCTAAAAACGCTGCAAACGTAAGGGCATTTTGTGAACGTTTGTTTTGTCGTTGAAAATGGAACTGGGAAGTGAAATCGGTCGCATCGGAAAGCTGCAATAAAACCTAGGCGCAGTGAAGTATTTACAACTGTTATAAAACTATCCCTGCCCTCCGCCGACAAAGTAGCACTGGGTGTCTAAAAGCAAACCTCCGCTTCAGTCCTAACCATCATAAAATTGGGAGTTGTAAACGAAGGTGATAAAAAACTACTTTAATTTATTTGTACATCACATTTTTCGCTTTATTGCTTTATTGGAACACTTAGGTTGATTATTGTACCTGTGAGAATGAGAACTAAACAATTAGGATTAAAAATGAGTGTGGAGTGTTAAAATATAGTTGGTTTATCAATGGTTATATTCACAGATTATTGTATGACTCCAGTAATCATTTTACTGGCAAAATCAATAAAAATAAAAATTAAGGTTTTTCTATGGTTCAGGATTTCAGCAGGTTGTTGCAGTATTTTGTGCTTATGAGCACTTAATCCAGATTTGCACGTAAGGTTAAATTGCAATAAGTCTGCGAGATGCACAATAACAGAAACTATAATTATGTCTTACAATATATTTTTTTTAATATGGCAGTAGGCCTGCCTCTTTACAAAACTATTTTTACTAGCTGGAATAAGGCCTTTTAAGCCATTATTATTTACGTTTTATGGTGTACGAAAAATTACGTTTGCCATACAATAATTTAATATTAGCTTATACAGATACCCTAGTATAAACACTATAATTTAAAACTGTTTCTGTAACAAATGCTAATTGTATTTCTATATGCTCTCCTATACTATAGCTCACTTTCTACATTAATGAAGTCATAAACTTTATGTAAAGAAATTGAAAATAGAGAATCTCTATAATTTTTTTTCTCTATTTTACTGCCGATAATTGCAGATTGACAAATGTAAATTAGCCAGATAATTAGCCTAATATAAATTTTTTACCTAAAAAATTTAAACCAACATACTTTATGCCATTGAAAAAATAATTTTGTTAGAAAACATTGTTTATTTCCCGAGGTCTACATTATACATAACAGCTAAATTCAAAATCCACACTTTACCTTCATTTTATTTTCATATAGTTTATACGCTTTTATAAAATAAAACTACTGTAGGTCTATGTAAACATATTTAGGATATCTTGTGAAATATGAATTACATTACTCATTTCTCAGTTTGTATGTTGTTTCCCTTTGTTCAATGTCCCATGCTGTAATGTACTGAATTTGCATTTCGGCGGTGCTACCACAGCTATGTGACGATATGAATGAGTTTTATAATGGCATTTGGCCAAGTTTCTGGCTATTTCCGTGGGTACTAGACGAGGGTATACCATCGCATACAACTTTGGGTTCCTGCCAAGAGGTTAAGGGACTTGCGCATATTAAAAAATATTACATTACGTTTGGGATTCAAGAGATCGAATTTCTCATTGCTATACAAGGTGAATCAGACCACCCGAGCACAACGGTTTGGCCCAAAAAGCGTTAAAAAACTACAGTTGTTTATTGAAAATCTGCCATTTAAAATGTCTTAGTGGGTCACAATGTTAAAAACGTCACTAAAGGCACTTTTCTTTTAATGTTGGCATCATTAAAAGTACAAATATATGTCCAAAAAGTAATAAAAAATTAAAACCCGTCGAAAATCCAAGACATTTTACAAATTTTTGAAGTAGGGCGTTTTTTATAAGGCGAATGAGTGCGATTTTCGAAAAAGCCTATGAATGTCTTATAGAAATTTTCATTACTGACCATGAAAATTGGGGTTTTGGTGCCCAAACGAAGCTTCAAACATAATTTTATCAAACAGAACAATAAAAGAACAATATCTATTCTTCTCTGTTTTTGCGAACTGCCTTTACTTTATCCATACGATGTTTTTTTTTTACTTAAAAAAACCTGCATGCAAATTATTTCAAAATGTAAAAAAGATAGTAACAAATAATTTTCATATTTCTAACATATATTATTTGGTGTGCATTTTTTCCCTAAGATTTTAATTTTCTTTTTTCTCACGTCTTCAAACGAACTCTTTTATTCCTGTCCTTGTACTTAATTCCAACAGATAATCAAATAACAAACAATAATAAAACATTGATTTACCTGAGAAACAATACCCAGTTGTAACAACCTTGACTTTGCTTGGCCTTGAAAGAGTTCCCCCAGAATGCTGCTTCTCGTCGGTGCCCAGATTCTATTCTCTGGTCGTCTTCATCCATCAAAGTCACCGCGGTTCTGCTCCAA